CCTCTCCCTCCCTCTTTTCCTCCCTCCCTCCCCCCTCTCCTCTCTCCTCTCCTTCCTCCCCTTTTCTCACCCCCTCCCTTTCCCTCTCCCTCTTCTCTCTCTCAGCTCCCTAACATTAAAGAGAAAATGCTGCTATCAGTGACTTCCAGGCCTGGGATTTCGACTTTTGGCTACAACAGAAACAACAAGAAGGTAGGGAAAAGCGCTTTTTTGGTATCTAGCTACTTCCTTTTCTGGGGATCCAGAGTGCCTTTGGTTTTAACATTCTTCTCTAAGAGAAGAACGGAATTCCTCTCTTGAGATTCTTCTTTCCTCTCAGTTCCTCCCCCTTTTCTGTTACTTCTTTCTGCATCTTTTCTCACCTGGTTCTAGAGTTTAAGGAATTCACAGTCTCTGTGAGGCTGGAGAAACCAGGGGAATTAAAAACAAGTCAAACTTGCAAGTTTTTGTATCCTTATGAAATGAAGATAGTTTGACTTCCTGCTGATTTACCAATTTCCACAGAGATATGTCATCTCAGACCCTGTCCCCCAGGATTATTTTATATTTTACCTTTTAACTGTTTCCATTCTCCCCACCTTCCTTTCTACCCTTACTACTAGCATTATTAGATGCTGAAATCACAGATAGTGAAATCACAGCAGCTCATCGGGAACTGAGTGTACTTTCTAGATTACAGACCCTACCCCACCCAGCCTGTAGAGAAGGAGTCCTGAGAGACAATGTACTTTGGGACTAAGACGGAAAGCTCTGTGATTTTTTTGGATCTTGCTGTTGAGCAGATACTTGGAGCTTTGCAGATAGCCAAACTCAGCAGGGATCCTTGAGTCTTTATAATTAACCCATGGCTGCCAGAGAGTTACACTGTACTTGGGCACCTGGGCGGTCTGGGGAGAGGTGGACAATCTTGCCCACATTTACCAGAGAATATCCTTGTTAGTTTCTTGGTGTTTCAGGGCACATAGTGCTAATCAGGAGGAATTTCATGTTGTAGCAGGAAAACCCTTTAGTCTCTCTGGGTGTTGTAGCTGTTCTTTGAAGAAAAAATGTATCATAGAGATTTAGGGATCTTTTGCTAACCTAATGGAATGTTGGAGTGGGGAAAGATTCCTGCTGCTAAAGAGACCATTACAGGTAGATTTAAACCCAAGTGTCTGATTAAGGCAGTGGGCAAAAATTTAGATCCAGAATACTTACTGTTGGTTCATGGATGTTAGTTTACGTGGTATTCATTCTTTTTTAAGAAATTTGGGTAGAGGGAAGAGGAATGGGGAGAGATATAGGTCAGAACATACAAAGTAGCAGTAGGATGATCAAGTCTTTTTTTTTTTTTTTTTTTTTTTTTGAGTTGGAGTCTCACTCTGTCGCCCACAGCCTCGACCTGCTGAGCTCTGGCAATCCTTCCGCCTCAGCCTTCCAAGTAGCCGGAATTATAGGCATGCGCTACCATGCCTGGCTGATTTTTTTATTTATTGTAGAGATGAGGTCTCGCTGCCCAGGTGGGTCTCGAACCCACGGGCTCAGGTAATCCACTCACCTCAGCCTCCCAACGGCGCGGGAGATAACTGTAAGGTTTAAGAAATTCAGGAATCATTGGGACTGGTGAGGGTGGGTGGGAGTAGAGACATAATTACTAATGTACTTGCACAGTTGGGTTCTTAGAAGTCAATGTTACGATGACATCTAAGGGTGTTGTATATGTGCATCACTTTGGGGCTATGTATAGGACTTCTTGTGTGCATATAGGCTTGTGAAGTTGGGTGTTTTTATGCTAAACCATTATTACATTACTCTGTCTTGGCATTGAAAAGTAGCACTTAATATGTTTGTTTCTGTTTTGGGAAGAGTGTTTTAGATGCATTTGCTCACGTACTTTGTGCTTTTTATACCTAAGGTTAAATTCTAACCATAACTTTTATTAGTTTTTAATAATAAACGTAAACGTGCCTATTAAAAAAATTAAGCATAAAGAGGTGTATGAAATAAAGTCTTCACTTCATGTTCTGTGGTTCCTTATTTAAATCCCACCCTCAAGGAAAATAACTGGTAGCATTTTGCTATATGTATCCTTCCAGGTTTTCTATGCCAAGACAGAGTTTTAATTTTGATAGTGGTTTATTTGCTATTTCATTTAAAATTTTAGTTTCTCAAATAGAACAAATCTTTGTAATAAAGTTTTTGGATCTGTCCAAAGCATGTAAAAAACTGAAATAAAGAATAATCAAATTCACACTGCAGGCAGGGCATGGTGGTTCACATCTGTAATCCCAGTATTTTGAGAGGGTAAAATGGGAGGATCACTTTGATACCAGCCTAGGCAACATAGTGAGACCTCATCTCAAAAAAAAAATTTTTTTCCACCCTTTTGAAAAAGTGCAAATTATAAATTGCTACTGCTTTCTGTAAATAATTTTTACATCATAACTTACTGTTGGCTGCAATCATCACCTCTAGTTTGTGGAATTAAAAAAGTTGCCAGTGACCTCAGAAAAGCTACTATTTGTATACCATGGTTACAACTTGCTTATTATTATTATTATTTTTTGAGTTGGAGTCTTACTCTGTCGCCCAGACTGGAGTGCAGTGGCACACTCCTGGCCACCGCAGCCTCCACCTGCTGAGCTCCGGTGATCCTTCCGCCTCAGCCTTCCAAGTAGCTGGAATTACAGGCGCGCGCTACCATGCCCGGCTAATTGTTTGATTTATTGTAGAGATGAGGTCTCGCCAAGTTGC